CAATCTTCAGCTAATAGGCGCAAATATTTATTTATTTCAAATGGCAGGCGTTGTGAAAGTTATCATTAGCCCTTTAGTTGACTTCAGGCTTCACAGAGGAGGAGGAACATCAAAGTGAAACAAGTCGAGAGGGAGAGGGGGAACAGAAGAGAGTTTCAAAGGTGTAAAAGAGGTAGGCACACAAGTGGAAAAAGGTGAGGTGAGTACTGTAGAAGTAGTCGAATATGACTTACAATGGGGTGAGGGTAGTTTGAAGTCAGAAGTCAACTGCCAGTTAATAGACTTTTTTGCCGTATGAGTATACGTTGCCCAGGGTGCTCCACGTGGAGGTAAGTCTATCGCACACCCCATAGGTGCAAATATTGCTTAGGACCAAAAATCAATAAACTGGCTGTCACCACCAATCTGCTAGAATACGACTACGGGATAATCGGTCCTAACTAAACCATATTTGAATGGGTTACTAGACTCAAACCGATCAACTATGACTAAAATCTGAAAACTTCCTTAATTGCTAACTGTTATGAAAAGAAGCCAGAGTGGCTAGCATCCAGCTTCGAATTTGAACTGAATTTGGAAAAAGAAATAAAAATTCATATTTTTACTTTTTTGTGATTACGAGCGAGTCTTGAAAATGAGCAACCAGTACAATTTCCTACCATTGCAATCTTCAGAGCAAACACTCTACCCCCTTCAATTTCTTAAAAATGGCTTCAGGATATATATAGGGAAATAAACATATTCGGACTAGGGGAGGGGGGTGGGTTGCTTCTTTTTACAAACATTTTTCCTAGCCAATTGAAGGTAGCACATGAGTTTAAAGGCATGAAGGCTAGTCCTGCCCAAGCTTACCAGTCGTCCTAGCGGCCTATTACCCTAGTAGCAAGTTTGGCAAGATTAGGATTCCCAAGCTTAACAAATGTCTATATATGGGCATAACTAGGCCGGCATCACTGCATCCCCTAGTGCGAATGAGTCATTGGCGCATATTGGCTTAAAAGAGATTAAAAGAAGTGGGCTAACCTGTACCGAATTTACCAGCTTATAATTTAACCCGACCATTACACACGTTCATTAATTTAGGCACCTTATGACTTCCAGTTGCTTGAAGAAAAACAACCTGAAACTACTTCCTCGAGCTAGCTCCCTTAAAAGTACGCGGGGATCAGGAGGGTTTTAGGCCGCGAAAAGGGAATCAGATAAGGTTATTAGGACAGATGCACATGAGGGAAAAAGTTTGACCCTAGATAGACAGATGGAATGAGGAGAAAATCCACCATGTTGAACCTAAAACTTTGGCGTTTTGCACATTGATTAAGGAAACCCATTTATAGGCATATCTCATCTCTCAGCCTAGTCATACGACTCCACCCAATCGTGTTCGCCCACACGTGCTTATGCACTTTTGATTGGTTGGCCTGGCCCACGGGCGCTGCTACACATTGCCTAATATAGAGACAAATGTCAACGATTGCGTTTCAAAGTGCGTTGAAAAAATCTTGGCGAACATGGAAGCCATGAATTAAGATCAAATTTGCCCAACTTATCAGCCTCACTACATAGTAACCGATGCCTTGAAAGACTTGATTAGGATTATGCCGAGTTATGGGGATATGTAAAATACTAGAACATTAATTAATATTCCCCGGTCTAAACCATTTAACCATAGTCACAAAGTTTAAATCATTTGAACGACAAAGTGCGGCCCAGGCACTATCAAATACAAGCCTATTTCCAAAAATACTGCAGACGATAAGCTCAAACGTGAAATTCAAACACCACATGAAATGTAAAGAACATTTTAAGATTAAGGGGCTTCTTATTGAAATGACCTCCAGGCTATAAATCACTACTACCGTGGCTACAAAAATAAATCAAAATCACACAAAGCAAATTTGGCCGCGAAGACCATTACGGTTAGAAACTTTCCACAAACAGCCATCCCATCTCGTCCAACCAATCAAATCACAAACAAACAGAGACGTGCGCACAGAAACGACTTTATTGGCTACAACTGAACAGGGAAAAATCAATCGATCATTCACACATCCAGTAGAATTTCCGGGCGCTATCCCTAAGGGGATCAGTTCTAGCTATTTTTTCCAAAAATATTCTAGATGTGATGCAGATGCCATAAAATAATTACCAGCAATAATAAATAATATGTCTTATCGACGAAAGAACAGTTAGCAAATTAATCCAAAAATAAAGTCACAAATTAAAAGTATTGATGTTGATGGAATAAAAATGAAGCAGACTAATCTCATCGACATACGATTAACTTGAGATATAACAAAGTAGTTCAGGTATTACGCTAAACTGTCGCACCTCAAAATAGCAAAAAGCCTTTAATCTTGGGTTTCTAGAGAGCATAAGAAAACTATATTAAGAAAATTAGAGCAATTAATCTTGAACAAGCGAAGCAAAGTAATCAATTTATAAATAAAGGCCAAAAAAAGCTATAGCAAGAAAAAATTGAAAATCAAATAGGTAGAAATACCATAAACCAAAAAGATCTATACTAACAGAAGACAAAAAATATCCAACAACCACATAGATGAAAAAATCAATTTGATTGCAATAAGGATTGTTTTATAAAGGTAAAACCACTGCTTGTTCAATGATTCAGCAAGAGTTCATCCCAAGAGAGATTTAATATTTAAGCTTGTCTAAGAAATTTTCGGCAGTAAGATCCGATTTGTCATTTAGTTGAATGTAGCCCTTGAAGCCAGTAAGTTGCCTCTTTAAAGCATCCACGGACGAAGCATACAACATTCTCTCACGAACATTAGCATTATCAGGAATCCTAAGAGATATATTCGTAATTCATAAATGAAATTTACCATGAAATGAAAAGGAGCTGAGAATGACAGTTGTCCGGTTCAAAATCCAACACTGCATAGCGGGCCTCATTTTCTAGATTTTCTAGCAATTCCTTGAATTGATCAAAAGTGCATTCTGAATAAAGTATAAAAAAGAATTGATAGCTACAAACCTCTGTCTCCAATCTTATCAATAACAATTTGTTCTTTATTTTCGATTTTATACAAGATAAATCGGCATGTTTTCTTTAATTTAAGCTCGTTAAACTTCGCAAGACAAGCTTCAGAACATTTAACACCAGAAGTCTAATAGAAAAAAAAATTAGCGACAAAGACCCCACCAACCATTATTCAAAAAAATGATTTCTGCAGTTCACATGTAATACGATGATCAAAACAAATTTTTATTCACTGATTCATATTAACTTTAAACTCAATCAATTATGATATTTGTAGTTAAAATGTATTTTATGTATCATATCTTCACTAAAAAATAATTGACGATTATTTGTTAATTGAGTTGTAAAGTAACCCTCAATTAATAAAGGTGACTTCTACTTATTTTCATGGTATGTTTGTATGATCATTTATACAAATTTTATTTCTTTTCGATTCCCCTATACACTTTAAAAAATAAGGATTTATTTTCGTAAGAGTAATTCATTACCTTATTGCGTTCAATTTGTGTTTGTTAATGGTATTTTTCTACATATGATGCTATGTCCCTAATAATTCCGACGTACGTACTATTTGTGTCAGGTATGAAAATGTATTTCTAACACAGATTGAGTAATTTACCATACATCTATTAATGAGGAGAAAATATTTTTCTTATATTTAAGAAGCAAGGTCCTAACAAAATAATAATTTTAAAAAATCTTGGTTTAAGCTAATTCATCGGTTATGTAATCTGATTCTGATTTAATTGCTTCTGAATGATTTATTGTCGATAATTTTTGGATTTTGAAAAAAATACATGTGACAGAGCTGAGACAACCCATCTTTAAATATGATATTGACGCAATCCAAACAACTTAAATCTCAATAGATTAAGACATCTTATCTATAATTCCCACAAGAATTGATAAGCAATTTCTTTAAGATAAAATCACTTAGTTATACTTCAATTTGCTTTAAATTACACAGATTTATATATTACTTTAATATCATTAATGGAATTACGAAAATTATGTTTTTGAATTTGAATCTATATAAACTCTTTACCAACATGTCCCTTACTGTGTACACATAAAATTTATTACCCACCTGCATTCTAGAACATTTTATCATCCGTAACTAGAAATAATAAAATAGTATTATGTAGTTTTAATCTAAAATATATACTATGTAGAGTGATGTTCATTAGCCAATTCGCCTAGTCTAGAATAATTTTTTCTATTCAAATTATTTACAATTTTTATGCCAATAAAATATTTCGTAGTATCGTGAAATCGAAGCCATTGTTTCTGAATGAACAATTATCAATTCCTTACCAAAGGGATGAAAAGGTAGGCTTTATTTCGAAAACATGTTATTTCACACGTTATATAAATTTAAAGCCAAGTTTAATTCATTAATGGAAGATTATTTAGTGGCAAAGGTACCTGATGATAGAATGGGATTAATAAAATATTGGCTTGGTGGCACACAGAGTGGAAAATTCGTCAATTTTTTACTCTGAATCTATTTTGATCAAAGATTAAAATGAATGAAAATTGCAAAATTTGTAGTTTTCTGTAAATTGATTGGTTAAAATTGAATGGCGTCGAATAAACTTTATCGCCACGCCAGTAGTTAGATTAATTTATTTTTAGTTTACATTGAGAAAAAGGTCTTTATATGAAATTTGCTAAAAATGTTGCTAAAAGGAGCTTTTATGGAAGATAAAGGCCTTTGGAAATTCTATCATAAATTAATCTATAATATGGAATAGTTAATGTTACTGTTATACCTATTGCCGGAAATTTACTTATTATCCTTTTTATAAAGGTGTAATGAAATCCCTTAAAACCCCATATTAAATTACATCCCTAATTTTCAAGTCCTTTTCAATTTTATTCCATAGTTTTTCATTTTGTGTGCAGTTGAATTTATGACACGATGCATAACATACATTCGATAATTATCACAATGTTAAAGAATGAGCTTTTAAAAATTAAATAACTTTAATTTTGTATTTAATAACATTTCTGAAGCGCACTCGGGTGGTTCTGATGTAAATGTAGCGATGACGTGTCCCACATACGAAACTAACTTCATATATATCTTTACAAGTTGTTAGGACAACGATTTTGCTTAATATCTGTGTATGAAAAATTACTAATAATAATATATAGTGCATCTAGATACATTAAAGTTTCTAATACTTTCATACGCTACATTCATCGAACCTTTAAACTATTTCATTACCTTAATCAATGGTTGGTGAGTTTTTTGGCGGTATTTCAGTTAGTTCTAAGAGATGGTTTGTTCCTTTTGTTCACTGATTTATTGTCTTTAGGCTTCTGGTGTAAAATGTTCCGATGATTGCATATCTAGATTCAATGACTTGAAGCTTAGGAAAGATTGCCGATATATTATTTACAAAATTGAAGGCACAAAGGAAATTGTTGTCTCTGAAGTTTGCGACAGAGGTGAGCTTTGCATTACCTTCAAATTTTTCCTTAGAATGCGATTTCGAGCATTTCAAGCAAAGGCTACTTAGGGATAATTGTCCATGCTATGCTGCTCTTGACTTTGAACCTGAAAAAAATAACTCGAGTTTGGTACTTGTTTCATGGTTTGTTGCACATTTTTACTTTCTCTGACTTTATTAGGATTCCTGATTCGGCTGTAGTTAAAGAAAGAATGTTATACGCATCTTCCCTCGATGCTTTAAAGTCAAAGCTCGTTGGATGCAAGGCAGTCTTACAATTGAATGACGCTGGTGATTTAACTGAAAGTTATTTCTGTGAAAACATTCCAGGTTCCAAGAAGGTCTAAAACTCTTTCTCTAAATGGTTGAACATTCCGCAGTAATTTCCCCTCTATCTTTGCTTATCAGCTGCATATTAATTTCACATTTTTACCTCCACGAACTTTAATATAGCCTTCTCTTGTTTTAAATAACTTGTTCATTAATATTTTTTAAACTTATGGATTGCATTTGAATTATGACTAACTTCCAAATAACTGACCTCTTTGTAGTATATTTGAGCTCTCTTAGTCAGTTGAAAATTAGGTATGTGCAATAGTTTTCTATCACTTGAAAATGGGTTTTATTTCTTGTTTAGTGTGTGTAGTATAGTTACATTGATTGTGTGCGCAGTTCACCTACTAAGTTGCCATATACGGCAATCGAGGTCATAATGTCTTCGGAAGTTGAGTCATTATTGTTCCGAGTAAATCCATTACTACTACAAAATTTTATAAGTATTTTTGGGTGGAATTAAATTACAAGTGATTTAATTCGCGCTTTATTATGCTACATTGTCAAAGTGATGGAGTTGCCTTCTTAAAGTTGTGCAATAGCCTTCCTTTATTTGGAAATCGTAATGGACCATTTAAACAAATGGCCTTGAGTGTGCAGATGAAAATGGTTGAAATGGACTTCTATTTGATACATAGAGGAGCAAGCCTGGCCTCGGTGTAAGGAAAGAGGGAGTGAGACAATGAGTGAGTGAGAGAAGTGAAATAGTTAAAGTTGCGCAACAAGCAAATAATCGCTGTCTGACCGTTGAGACTGGGGGCATCTTTCGGAAATCATGCAATCTTCTTTCAGAGGACATCAAAGTCTGGCCAGAGTTAATACGTACCTCAATAGTATTAAATGCGCTTACAATAAAAGAAAACTTTTAAATCACTAATTGCTAAGATAAGCTACTGCTATATCACCTTGACTGCACTTTTCATCGATCGCCAGGGGAAAAACCAATTTCTTCCCTCATAAAGGCTTTAAAACTTCCACTGAATGGAAGCATTAAGGTGGAATAAATGTGTTGGTCGTAAACAAGATGGATATGGAATTCTATAAGCACTGTGAGATCCATATATCAAATTAAAACATCCAAGGTCATTGCTATGGGTACGAATTGTTGTTCTTATCAGTTATATTTACTTAATAATCTTTGCGCACATACTTGCTCAGTCCAAGTGCGGTCCAAGCACAGTTACACCGTTTGCATAGTAGTAAATTCAAACTGCTTGAATCGTGTTTACCACCACTTATGATGTGCGCATGCGAAAATGATAAATTCATGTTCATGGTACAGCTTTTATTACAAATTCGATTGAGCACTCCTAATGTCTTTAAATAAAGATAAGAGGGCAGACATCACTCCAGCTCTATCAATTGACCTTTAAATCAGATGAGAAGCAGCTTAATTGGAAAATATTTCTGCTGCAAATGATTGCATAAAGCTTCAAGCATAAATAATAGAACTTCCGTCGTCTATATATTCACACAATGTCGTTTGCTAACTGGCTATTTGAGGGTAAGTATGGTGGCGGAATGAATTATAGAAAAACAAGGCCAGATTGATGTAATGACCATCAAGAATCGTCACACAAAAACCCATGCCCACAGGCTATATTATAAAGTGCCGAAATATTTAATTATCGGCAATAGAATACGTGGGCAAAGTATTTATTTATATTTATTTCAAATTCACTCAATGCCATAACATTTATTTATTTCAAAATATATATATATATATTTATTTATTTCAAATGGTTCATAATGAAGTTTCAATATTTATTTATTTATTTCAAATGGCCGGCGTTTTGATAGTTATCATTAGCCCTTTAGCTGACTTCAGCGTTTTGATAGATATCATTAGCCATTTAGCTGACTTCGGTTTTCACAGAGGTAAGGTCCATCAAAGTAGCAGAAAGTCGAGGGGTGGGGAACAGAAGAGCGATTCACAGATGTAAAAGGGTCAGACAGACACAAAGGTAGAGAAAAAGGTAAGGTGAGTACTATGAAAGGGGTCGAATATGACAACTAGGGGGGTCGTGGTAGTTGGAAGTCAGAATTCAACTGTCGGTTAATAGACTTTTTTGCCGTATGAGTATACGTTGCCCAGGGCGCACCACGTGGAGGTAAGTCTATCGCACACCCCACGTGGGCAAAGTTTGATGTACAAATTATGACTTAAACTTATGGAGACCCTTTTAGCTTCAGACCAACAATTTGAAATGTAAAACACAGTAGACTTTTGCTTCTTGTTGCGGTGAGAAGACCCACCAGTTTCAGCATTCTTTTCGGAGGAACGAATTTTTATCTTGATGTATCTTTTAGCAACAGAGTCTCTATTTAGCTTAAAAGAAGCATTCAACTCCAATTTCCTATCATCAAATTAGTCATAAGTAGTAAATATGTTAAGTTTTTCATTCCTCTAGTGCTATAATTTCTCAAAGAAAATAATGTCAATTTAATGATTAATTAGGTTAGAAAATGGGTTTGAGATTGCTTTAGTTGTGATCTTTTTGGATTTGAGAGTATGCAACGATACTACTCGAACTTCTATATATGGGTACTTCTATAAATGGGCTGAACTATTAGAGAACTGCGCTGTTAACTCCAATGTGAAAATGTCATCTGATCTGACAGGGGTGGATACATATTCCATTCTTGAACAAAGAGGGGGCAAAATTTAACCTCACCTTCAAACGTCTTGTCGATTATCAATCAGTTTATTCTTGCGTCTACTCCTCCCATTATATCTCCACTTTCGATGCGACCTTTCTTTGTTCTAGCTTCGTATCACTCTCCTCCCCTTACTGGGCAATTTAACCTCCTTGTTCTTGATTAATGGGGAGGTCATTGCACTGAACCTCTGTTATCTTTCTACAATAAAGTGAAAATCGCAAGGAGTTGGGAGGACAACATCTTCGTGTAATCATAAAAAGGGTCATGTCCACGGCGATAGATGTGAAAATTATTGAAAGGTAGGCAGGAGGAAGTTGAATGGTTCCGTCTTAAAATTCAAAGTTTGAATTGACTCTCGATTGTCACCATATACGCTAAAGAGCTTTTTGTCTTGAGGCACTTGAGAGTATTCTCTTTAACTTCTTACTTTATAACGGCTAAATTAATTTCTGTAACTATCGATTTCGATAAACGTATGGATTTTGTAATGACATAATCCTCACATTAATTCAGCTTATTTAGAAGCACAATAGTTTATATGATTACAATGAAGCTCTATTTGTATCTCTTAATACTTCCTCATTAAACAACGGGATTCACAAAGTTGTGGTCTCGTTAACCAATCAAAGGCTTTCGAATTCGACCTTAAAACTCACTGTTGTTTCTTTTTAGTAAAGTGCCTAAATCAACGATAGGCTCAAATCTCACTTTCTAGAAACATCTATTCTGGCTGTTAAATAATTCACATTGAATATTCTATTAACTGGACTGTGAAAAACAAAAAGAAGTTATATCTTGCAACTCAAAGGTGAGATCGTGAATAGTCAAACAACCTCAAGTTCACGAGGCCACGTAATTTTTCTTTGGCAGCCCGCACAAAAGTAAGAAAGAGTTTGAGAAGGTTACCGTAAAATAAGTGCGAATATCTACCATTCAGCTACTCGTCTTATCAGCCACGGTGCTGACCCCTTTAATGTAATACTTAATTTTCTTCCTACCTTGTAACAATGTCACGAAGATTGCTAAGAAGGTGGACAAAGAATATCCTACGGAAATTAGTTTACTTATAAATTTTAGCTCCCCAAGCAATGGTCTCTAATAATAGCAGTAATCTTTCACAAAAAATTCCAAATCAACCGACGGGGGGGGGGTTGGGGAAAGGAAGACTCGTTGAGAACGGGGTCACTGATTAGCACTCCTAGAAAATTTAGGTTTTGTGGCCATGCGCGTCCTTTATAAAAAAACTATTCATTTGGCATTTGTGAAAAATAGCAGATATCTTGACCGTAGACATAAAATGGTTTCATGAACTCATAGTCGCGAGGCCATCGGGTTAGGGGGAGGGGGGGGGGTTGAGTGTGTGCTAATAGCTACCAATACTCACATTCGGGTAGAAACACCGTTAGACGTACATTCTCTCAACCAACACACAACGCACACGCACACACTCGCTCTTAATCACTCAATTACGATCTCTCGCTCTCTCTCTCTCAGTTTTTATGTGTGTTCGCACACGAATACACGATGCGAAATTGCGCACTCATTTGTAGCTCTGTGTTGTGTGTAGGTGTTCACATGTGATTGGCAGGTCTTACAAGTAGCAAAATTCTCTCTCCCCCTTTGCAAATATTGCGATGATCGTTTTAAGCTTACACTTTTGAAGAGTACCCTCCTTTTTTAGAGGCCTCTTTCAAACCTACAAGGCAATTTGTTAATTGTATAGCTAGAAATCACAAGAAGTTAGGTTAACTTAAGGTTATTGCTTTTACAACAGATATTTCATTTACGCAGGAACTAATGCAAAGGAGTGCGTGAATCCTTACTCAAGATGGCCAAAGTCTGATGTCGGAAATACAAAAGCACGTTGACCTCTTGTCGAGACTAGCACGTCAAGGGGTTGATAGATAGCGCCCAAAAAATAAGGACACCTCGCTGTTATAACCTAATTAGCCACCAAAATGGTCACAAATCCTAGAACTTTGTAATAATACGTGAAGGCTTTAATGGGAAGTACTTCACCCAAATTATGCAAATAAACGAACCTACAATTCAGCGTATTTGAATTAGTAATCGGATTGCTAGGAATAACTAATAACTAACTGATAATTAAACTCTGTGAGCTCAAATTGGTCATTTTAAATCAATATTGGTGAGCTATGAAAGCGAAGACTAAGTTAAAGGGGCGGAGCCTAATTATCAGCTGAAAAAAAGTGATGAAGGGCAGATTACGAAAGTTCACCTTGAGTGAACTCTAACAAACACTCATTGTCAGTCTTATCTTGATTCTTTTGGTTGTAATGAGTTATAGATAATCGAATTAAAGGCGAAATTCCCCCCCCTCCTCCTCCCCGCCTGGTCAACAGGCTACAAATATTGGCTCCTATGAGACTTGAAATCTGAACACAGGGATATTGCAAAGTAGGCCATTCTCCTAAGGTGAAAAAAAGACAACCTCATTCTTGCATTATTTGAACTGCTTCTTATTTCCGTGAGCTCGTTTTCCGTACCAATCCCACCCCTTGGCTTGTTGTAGTTCTTTTCCTTATCGTTGGGAATATGAAAAGCTTATTGTTAAGGGATATATTTAACCTCAAAACTCGATTACTTAACAAAAAAAACAAGTCTTCCATTCAGGCATAGTTGTTTCAAAGGTAAAAGCCATCGTGACACTTTAACACCCTGCAGGACAGTACGCGGTCCTCTTTCAAAATAAGCTCCATTGGTACTAGATTCTTCAGAACAGTAGCGAGAAATGTGCTCCTCGGTGTGGAAAATGGCTAATTCCTCCTTAAATAGATAAGAATAACATTGGTAAGAAAATCATGCTACTTGTTTCCAAATTTGACCAAAGTTTTCAGTTGAAAATCTCTGTCAGATATCACACTTGTAACTTATATTTCGCATAATTCTACAATATTTTGAACACTCCCGCTTGGTTTGTCAATCCTTTAACACCTTGAAGGACAGTACGGTCCTCCTTCAAAATAAGCTCCATTGGTACTAGACTAGTAATAGAAGTGATGCTATCACATTTAAAATATGTTTAATGCGTCTGATACCACTAGAACGCAAACATGAGTGCGGTTGGGTACAATTTTCAAAAAAAAACAATAATTTGGGTGTTAAAGGGTTAAATAGGCGGTCCAAACTTTGAGAAATTATGTTTCACTTTGTCCATTGTTAGGAAAAAGCTAAAACTTAGGTGTTGTAATCATGGGCATAATTGAATATCAATAAAACTAACTAAATTAGGTGTATTCGAAGCTAAACCTGAAAAGACCAGAGAAAATACCTCTTTGATCATGTGAAGAAACTAGATACATACTCATACATCTGTGTCACAGAGGGGAGCACTGAAAGACCAGATACCGATTTCAACAAAATCCTTTATGTCCTTTTAAACATTATTCCATAGGTAACGCATTGGGAATTGCACACATCTATCTTTCCAAAGGGTTGTGCGCGATAGACATACTTCCACGTGGTGCAACCTGGGCAACGAATACACATGCGGCAAAAAAAGTTTATTAATCGGCAATTGACTTCTGACTTCAAACTGCAATGACACGTCTGTATGCCATATTCCACCACTCACAGTACTCACCTTACCTTTTTCTCTACCTTTGCATCTGTCTCTCTTATCTGTGAATAATTCTACTCTTCACCTCCCGCCCTCATCGACTGATTTTCCTCCCCTTTGTGAAGCTTGAAGTCAACTAAAGGGCTAATGATGCCTAGCATAAAGCCTGTCATTTGATATAAATATTTATGTTAGACATAAAAGTAATGAATAAATGTTACCTTTAAGCGTTTAATTGCCATTAGTGACTTGGCTCTTATGATTTCCATAAACAGAAATATTTTAGGAATGTTGTGGTCAATTGTGAGGTCCACACAGTTGCCATCGTACCTGACGATAACAACCTTCAAAACCCCACTACGGCCTCAAGCACCCCTACCATTGTTCTCGTCGATATCACCTTTAGTGACTCCACAAGTGCTCACATGATTCCCTGCTGTCACCAGTTGTCGTGAGTTAACTAACTATCAAACTATGAAGATCTATTACGCGTTTTTTTAGATATTACCTTCTTTCAGGCTCGAATTGGAACTGAATTACAAAAGCCCCGCATATATACTACTATTATTTATAAATTGTGTCCGTAAATGAGTAATAATGATTGGGTTCATTTAAACTTATAATAATAAACATTTTATGATTGTTTTCAATGAAATGGTAAGTCCTTTTCTTCTATTCTTTCAGTATTGATCGTTGGCTTACTATGATTCAGAAACATTTCAAAGAATTCCACATTCGCACACTAAAAGTGAGCTTCGTGGTAATCCATCTACTATTTACCGACATAAAACTTGTTTTGTTTGGATGTTCGAATTATATACACAATTCAGGTATTCATGATCTGGAGACAGAATTTAAGCTTCTAATACTCTGGATTGTTTACTAACCGCTGTTTAACCAGCTTTGCTTAAGGGCTTGCTAAATATGAGAAAATGTGCACACAACCCCCTCAGAGCACGTGCACACAAAGCTTTTGGCTTGGCGCGCTGTTAAAAGTGTGTTTAAAATAATAGTCAAGGAAAGTGAAAACGTCAATAACTGAATAGAAGCTTTGGTTGCAAGGTCACCAGTAAGGGGCCTTATCCAAATCCTAATTGAATTGTAATTGGGGCAAGCGTGCGGGAAACAGGGTGTTAATAAACGTATAGTATATACACAAGATGACTATTAAATCGCAAGACGTCAAGATCCGCCTGTGTATTAGCGCCCTAAAGAACTCGGTAAAGTGAAGTTTTAGCTCTTTATCATACCTCCAGTGATTTGGCCTATCTACCCCCCCCCATTCGGAGGATAATACCATTCAAAAACGAATGCATATAAATGGAAGCCTTTTAATTTAATTGGAAGGAAAGTCAAACATTTTCAAGGTCTGAGCAGACTTAAGACGGAATTCCTAATTTGAGCACCAAGCTTTCCAAACCCCATCGCCTGATTAGGATAAAAGAGGGATATCCTAAAGTTGTTCTACTGAGAGGTTCGCATTCCAGCACATCTATTAGCAGCTACAATAAACAAGTGTGGTTGGCCGACAATAGAGCTTACTCGAATCGATCAGAACCAGCCACTTAATCCCTGACTCGGTAAGCAGGCAGGCAGAACTTTTGATTACTGGGAACTCAATCTTCTGCCTTCAATTTTATTGGTTGATCTATAGCGTATATTCGGGTTGTCTGAAAACAGAGTACTTTACTGGTAAAGTGACGCGCCTTCCAGTTTCATTCACACGAGTAGGAACAACCGTAATCATAATACTACCGCAGTTACCAAACATAAAAGGAAATACTTGAAAAATAGGTAGTTGTTTTTATTAGCTTTAAAATAGGCTTAATATAGATGTATATATATATAGTATAATGCATGAGTGGTAAGATGGGCGCTTTTGAGTATAGGTGGGAGAATAAAAGTGGGCGAGAAAATAATGGGAAGGGGGTGGGGGTAGGGGGAACACGATGTAAAAGGTCTTCTTAAACTCATAAATCTTTATCTTATCTTTCTCAATCCATCCATTTATCAATCGGTCAAAAATTGGCGCTCAAGGAATCTCTTTTTTCGACGGAGCATTAATGAGTGGGCGATTTCTATTAAGAAAATGGTCAGGAAGGATGATGGCGTAGAAATCGTTTTGGCGCTTTCAATACAGAGACACGGGACAGACACAACATGCAAATAGGAGTGGGTTGGAGGGCGCTTAAAGCGAGGGAATCAAATTTCTGGCAGTAAATCAGAGAGAAAGACCGGAGCGCTGAAAAAAGAGATTTGGATCAGGTAAAATAGCCCCTCAGAATCCGATGATGCAATTATAATGTTCATGTGGGGCGTGTGCAATCAGAAAAATAGATGTCTTCTGAAGGATCAGGAAAGGATGGGAAGGGAGGGAATAGATGAGCAAGTTGGGATGGGTAATACGAATCGAAAAATTAGTTATCTTTGTCACATCATCTTCATCTCTATTGGCTTGGTTGCTTGCTGTGTGCAGAAGTCGCATGGGACTTCATGTGAGCATTCCTGCTCTTAACTTTGGCAAAACTGCGACCGCATTGGCGACAGAGGAACCCCCCTTCCACGCCTCCAACTACAGTCGCAATAGCTGAAGACTCATTACCAGTAGACGATGATTTGAGTTCAAGGTCATCGAATTCACGGTTCTAAAAACCAACATATATACCTTACTTACTTAAAAGCAGTAGCATTGTTTAAAATTAACTAATAATAATGGCGCACAATGGTAGGGGGCAGATCGTTATGTTTTCGGCGCAGATTGTATGATGTCGAGGAGGAATTGTTATCGTCAACACCCAAATCAGGAGTTGGTGGCATGTCAAGGTCGAGGGAGTTGTTGTCAAGGTTGGGAAGACCGTAGAGATCATTGGCTTGATGATTAAGAGGAGGCGGATCTTCGACGGTTTGTCTATCACTCCTTGTTGGAACGCTCTTGCAATGAACTCTACCTCGATAGCTGAAAAAGTGAACAATCGCACCCTTGAGCTTGAGCAAAGTGAAGCAATAGTAATATTTTAGTGGCGTCCAGTTCCTATAACGATGTCCACATATCGGTTTTTTGCATATCAGGTTAAGTATGTGAAATAGAATTAAGGCCTATGGTCTAACTTCAAAGAATTATAGTGACCAACATTAAGATGAATAATTACCGCTTGACTTCATGTGGAGTATTCATTCGTTTCCAAACATAGTAGAACTCAACACACGCCTTAACGGATTTATTCATTCCACAGGCTCTTAGTTCTGCAGAAACATGATGAAAGTCTTTTTTATAGGGTCTACGAAGACTACTCTGGAATTTCTCGATCTCTTCTGTCGTCCAGTATTCAGTTTCTAAAGTAAAAATAAAAAAGTCGTTAAACTACTGAAAATGACTTAAGTAGGAAAAGGAATAAAAATAGCTTACCAGAATAGACCCGATCGAAAATTGTAAAGGATTCATGCAACAGTGTACGAAGAGTCATTTCAAAGTCACCATGAAATTTACAAAGGAGATGGAAAGTATACTCCATATTTAGTCCACAGTTCCTCACAACAGGAGAGCGGGCAAGATTCATGAGGTTGGCCACTAATAAGGAAACCAATATTAGAACAGCGGTGGTGATATTCTACCAGGGGAAAGATCGACTTACAAGACTCCTCGGTCTTTGGGTCATTGTCATCAATATTCCGCGGATCCCATAATAACGACTCGTAGAAACGATTCTCTTCACGATATAGATCTCTTACACAGCCTTCAGCAAACTCTGGCACGTCAACCTGGTACTCCGCACCAATATTAATTTTTCTACCCAAAAACAACATCGACATCAATTATTTAAACAAAATAAGTAAATGAAGTATATGAAAAAGAACGTAAGTAACTCTCACGGTTCAAAGTTACTAGGCACACCGATATCTTCCACAATGCTATCAACAGAGTCAACATCCTCATCATAATCCATTTCTTCAACCTGTGGGATTGCGGGGGAAACATCAGCACAACAATGGCAAGAAGGCGACGAGGGCGTATCGGTGCCATGAGGGATAGGAGAGAAATTTGACCTATTGAGAGCAGGAATGGTGGTCACCACCGCATCCCCATGAAGAGCACCTGCCTCAGAGGAATCAGGGATGACCACTTCAGGAATTTGGTGACTATCTTCAACAGCAGCTGCTGCCGCCGCTGCAGTATCTAGCATTGAAGCTAATGCCTCATCATCTTCATCAGCAAAGAAGAGAGCTTTGGAAGAAGGCCTAGGACACTCGACTTCATCACCTCCAAGCATCGTTGCACGCATAGGAACCGTGGGAGGAGCTATGTCATCACCGCCGCCACACATATTATTCAATGAGGTCTGACAAAGGAAAAAAGTAGAGTGGATGACAATTTTGCATCATGTGTGCACTATTGTTTATGGTCAGGAAAATGTGTTTAGCAAGATAACACCTCTCAGGTTAAACTATTTTTCCATACCTTGCAGTTGATAAGAAGTTTATACTCAGCCCCACCATTTTCTAATACTCCAATCTGCATCCCCGCACCCCCCCCCCCCCACCCCACCCCAAACGCAAAATCTTGAACTTCTGAAATTATCCCTAAAGAAGATCACTAGATTTACAAGGTAATAGGTCTAAGCCCAACCGGGTCAGACTACTAAAGCAACCTTCAGTACAAAGAATATATGAAAACAAAAGACTTAAAGCCGATCTAAAGACCTCGATCTCACAAAACCTCAACATACGGAGAGGCCACTGGGCACTTTTTCTTTGAGTAACCAGCTTCCAATGAAAATGGAAGGAAAGCTCACACAGAGTCATGGCCTGGCTAACCCAATCAAGAAAATGAGGAAGTCATTAGTTTGACAAAAGTGTCTGCCAAAAGTCCTAGACAAAGCGAGATCTCTTCTCCGTAGGTATAAGAATTCATCGTAAGGAGATATGTACAGGGACAGTGAGACGAAAAACAGCAAATTGTAGCCAATAGACTCAATCCTTAACCACAAGTACCGACAACGACTTAAAGTGCAAACTTCGCTGCACTTTGTCTACATATCCGATTGACCTCAGGTGGTAGGTAGATTGAAGTGTAAAAATTAACCCCCCCCATCTTTTACCCAAAAGGTACCCTTGAAATTACACATAAGAGTATAAAAGGCATAATGGGGTTGGGTTACCTCTGAAGAGAAATATGCCGCATTTTTCATGAAAGCTGGAGCAGATTTAGGTGATGCACCGGGAGAAATCCCGCTTCGCCTCGCTAGAGCCAAGAAGCTCTTCTCAATTTGTCGACCTGTGTTACCAACAACACCACCACTGTTTGCACTATGGGCAGCGGCATTTGCACCCTCTGGGACGTTACCGATCAAGTTCATTTCTGACGCTATCACCATTGGGCTACTATCATCAACACTACTCAATCCAGAGGGAATGCTTGCCCGACATGTTCTAAGGCGGGAAAGACTGGCTGCAGATGCAGCTGTGGCAGTGCGTGGTGGACGCCTGGAGCGAGCAATCATTGAAGAGAAGAGACCAGAACCCCGACGATTAGGCGAGAGCATGGGGGGTGGAGTGTAGGGAAGGGATTCCAACATTCCATTGAGTGAAAGACCTCTACTCGTTGACTGGCCACCCTTCAGAGGGAGAAGGGCGTTGAGTTCGGTATTGGAGACACCAACACTGTTTGCGGCTGAGAGACGAGGTGAACGCAGACGTGAGGGGTTGATTCGATGGGTGAACTGTAAGAAAATGTTGTATAGTTATTATAGAGAAGGAACTATTAATGGGGTTTTAATGAAGTTATTTATTGCTTGTCTATTTATAGGAAATCACTGAAATATTTGTCATTTTGTAAAGTGAATGACTGTTCAAACTACTGAATGATACATTGCTGGTACCGTACTCAAGTTCGAAGAGAATTTTAAAGCACAAAATGAAAAATTACACTTGAGGAATAAAAGCTCTGGATCTTCGGAATGATGATGCAATGGTCAAAGTGGTATTAAAATTCTCTTGACGGGAAAAGTGACAAAGACAGTTGTGGTAACCAGGACCTCAGTGTCTGGTCACGGAAAAAAAACTCTCTTTGAGGCATGGGAATGAGAGAGTATGATTAACCTCCTACAAATCGATAAGTCTAACTCATTTGTGTGCCTAAATTATTGTAATTGTCACAATACACTAAGATGTGATTTAGTCAAGACATGCCCACCAATATACCGCAAAAATAAATGACCTAGAAATTAACTTAATTATCACTTTTCTTTTCAAATCTATTAGACCGAAACCAGACACTCCAAACTCTTAATTAGGCACTCAAAGACAGTGGTTAAAACTGATTATTTTTCATTTGAGTTTACCGAGGGAATTACGATGGGTTCCGGCTTCTTTTTCACTTTCTTCAGAGTAGCACCACTGACTCCAGGCGATGAAGTAGGTGACTGTGCTGCAGTAACCGACGATAATGAAGGCAGATGAATTTGCGAAGACAAAGACTGATTCGATAGAGTTGATTGTTGCGTTAGAGGAGGTGGATTTCTGAAAATTTCTTCCGTATTACTACTCCCTGCATCCTCCTTTTTACCTACACTGTTGTGCTGTTGTTGAGCGTATTTGTGCGTTGGAACACAGCTCAACTCAAAGCATTGACTAGGTTGCATTTGCTGCTGCGGTGAAATTTGATTCGGCATTGGTTGAGTCTGGTCTATTGCTTGCTGAGGAGGTGGTAGAAGCCTACTGATGGGACCAGGATCTTCATCCGCAAGCAAGAGAGGATCTGAGTCATCAGGGAAGAAAACACGTTCTCTGTTTGGCATTACAGGCACCGAGTAGGCTGCCTGAGTTGAATTAGTGCAGTAGGAGTATGCACGTGGCTGTATTCCAGTGGTGGTATGTTGTGGAGTCATTGGATGACGCATTAGTGAACTGAAAGTTATATTAATTACATGTTTAAAACCACTAGAAAGGTTTCATTAGTTGAGTTTTATTAAAGGGACACCCTCACCTGTCATAGCCCGTGTGTGAGCAGATGGGTTTAGGACGATGGTCGTACACTGAATGTAGTGGTTGTTGTTGTTGTTGGTAGAAATCAGAGCCCCTCGAGGTGTCCTCGACGTTTTCTTGTGGCTGCTGCTGGGTCTGAACTGGAGTGTAGAGACGAGGGGGCTGCTGTTTGACATTTTCGTGTTGCTGTTGATAGCTCGGCGTCAGATTCATTGATTGTTGAGCTGTTGGTGGTGGCGGCGGTGGCGATGAGAATTGTCCCAAGAGAGGAGATGATAGCATCGGTTCAACTGAATGTGGCTCATGACTTAGCCACTTATCTGAAGATTGAAGGAATGGTGTTACTTTAACGAATCCCGGTTGTAAACTAAGCAGATAGGATACGTGATGATTGCGAAATTAACTCTTACTCAGAAGATTTATGCATTACCTGGGTTCATTAGTTTTCACTAAATCGGGGAGCTATCGGACGTTCTTTGGTAACCTACTCTACACTTTCCACCTAGCTACTTGTCAGCTCACCAATCAGTCGACTGACTCCACCTTCAACTTTTCCTTCAAAATAAACGAATTCAGTAGTAGTCTCTAACTAACTTCTACCCAGTTGCAATGAGAGACTGGAGATCAACTGGTTTAGCCTGTAATTGTTTCCAGTTTCCATGCAGCAAATTGTGTTGGACTTTGTAGCTTTAAAAGCTGAATCTCTATTTGCATCCGTAATTTTTATTTTGGCAATCATTAACCTCTGAAACCTGAAAATTTGGACCCCACAGTGGTGTTCTCAAGTATTACCAATAAGAATTATTATTATTATTCGAGTTATTTATTCTAATTAACCGGAGGATTCTGTGAGGTGAACAACACGATAAAGCATTCCAGAAAATGTGGCCGCACTACTGATCACCTAGCAGGCAAGCGTGGATGCAGGAGGGGGGGGGGGGGGGGGGGGGGGGGGGGGAAGGGGAGGGGCGCCAGGCCATTCAATGATTAATATTCGTCGATTGTATGTAAAGACTAAGGGGGTGTGGGCAGGTTTAACATACATACGAAATTTTCTGACTTTTGGTCACAGTAAAAAAAATCCCCATATTCTCATGCCTTCTGTATTCTCACTATTTTGGACGTAGACAAGCTAATTTTGGTGACACAATCTACGCAAGAGGCTGGCAATATTCGTCTGCAGCTAGTGAAACTTCTAGGAAGATTATCAAGAAATATTAAAGTGTTCGTTAGGTGTACCCTACAAACTGATGATCCCGTGACCATTCGTCACTTCTACTCAACGAGGGCGAAATGGAATTTTTCAGTTCCCAATTAAAAACTGGGACTATAGCAAGGCTGCTCAGATGTCCACTCTCTATAAATCCTAATACCTGCTTATGAAAAAGCCCATTATCCAATCATTCCTCGGACAATCGACTCTAGCAAGTGCATCTAATCCTCCCTTCAATGTGGTTTTTGGAGTTTGTTACATTTTATAATGCAAGCACCAATACTAACTCTAAAGCGCTTCTGTGGAATTACGCGGCATATTACAGTAAAAAATGAAGACATTAAACCCAGTCCGATATGCTAAACTTTCCACCTCCGGCTCATTTGCAGAGTACAACTAGGACCGGAGCAAAACCTATATTACCCCGGAGCTTTTCATGAGCTGTAATCTAAACCAACACCCACTTTTCGAAAAAAATTACGTTAAAAGTTGAATTTACTCGAGTCCACAAAGGCGTTTGATCTGCTCGGCGGACATGGACAAAGGAATTGCTGCTGCTGCTGATGCTGCTGTCGAATACCTTGCTGAGAGATCGGTGGAGGTGAAGGTGTGGACGTCGAGGCTAATAGAGCGTCCGTCGGAGGAAATGTGAAAGCACTCGATGCCGAGTTCGAATTCCCTCCAAATCCTCCTGAAGCTGGAGTAATTGGAGAGTAATGTGGTTGAGCAGCAGGACGATCCACAGCAGTGCCACTACCGATTCCATGGAGATTTGGATAGGAACCAGATTGAAAGAACCCCGACTGTTGATGATGCGAAGGTTGCTCACTTGATGCTGTGTTGCCAAACATTGGAAGAGACTCGAGCTTAGACCCACTGTAATCTTCGCCTCCACTTGGATGTGAGAAGGTGTGCGATGGTGGTTGAGGTGGAGCCAAGCGGGATATATATCGACTCCCCTGATGCCTGAATGACGCGGCACTTGGTACAGTGTCAAATAGACGCAGGTTATTAAAGATAGGATCTACCGACGACGTTGGATCATTTCTAATTGTGCGAAGTGATGGTTGGTGAGATGGATGATGTTGAGGTGAAAACCACATTGAGTCTTGCGGTGCGGAACGAAACTGATGCAACTGAGTGGGTGGGGATGAACCACTAAAGGTTGTTGAAGAAGGTCGCTTTCGAAAGTTGGTACTACTAGTATCACCACCTAAACCACGATAGGGTGAGTGGGCGCCTGTCGCCTCATTGAAGTGCAATTCCGAATGCGGCCGTGGGAGACTCTGTCTGATAACACTATAGTGATTCTGAAATGATGAAAGAATTAACCAATCAATATAGCTGATATAAATCTATTTGCAATTAAGAGACGTAAATGCTCTGTTGGACTGTCAGGAAATTGCAATAAATCATCCCTACATCAACGTTAAGGGAGCAACTTCACAGAACTTCTCTGTGGTGAGAAACTACCCCTTCCAGCCCCACGACCTCTAACATCGCAGGCATGGAGCATAAAGAAAGTACTGCATAAATACCATTATTTGTCTGCATTGATCCGAGTAAAACACCGAGCGTGCGATCTGAACTGATGTTCCGTATAAACTACACTTGTACTACAGCCTTTGACTCGAATCGCATACCTCTCCCACATATGCTTGGCTTGACATCCTTACAACACCACTTCTGAGATAACATGATCCACCGATTAACAATGCGAGAAAATAAATCCCCCTTCTGCCCAAATGAACGGGAAAAGCTCAGTTAACCTCGATTAGAAAGAGAAAAAACAGCTGAGAGAGAGAGGGGGGGAGGAACTTTAAAAAAATGGTACATGGATTTGAAGCTTAAGCGGGGATTAATGCAATAAGTTAACTTGGCCTTTAAATAATGTTAATAACCACAGGGGTGAATTCGTGCGTTTTTAATCATTAATTATATGAATGAAAGAAAAGTAGTCATTCATGCCATCTTGATGAATTCATACACTGCAATAGCCAAGAGTAGGTAATTGGTATAACATAAGCGGAGTCCACAAAAATTAACCAAAGGTTAGCTCTCTACTTGGCACTATTAGATCACAACGATTTATAAGCTTATAAGGAGACAACTGAACAACTTACGGAGGACGATTGTTGTTGAGATAGCTGGCCAGAATGAGCTGGCCACGGACGAATCGAACGAGATGTCGTTATGGAAGCTACAGTAGACGAGGCACAGAGAGCTTCTGTGCTGATTACAGGTAGCGTGCTAACCGGGCCACAAGGCCAATCGAAGAGACTCGATGATGAACCCTCTGATTTAGTATCGGGTAAATCACGAAGCGGACGGAAGGGCTCATTTGTCTAAAGGAGAAAAATGAAAATAATGAGACGAATTCAGCAGAATATACGCATAGAAGGCGCAAAACCTTAACCTCACATGAACTCTTCTCTACCTTAGTTAGGATTATTTTAACTTGATAGGCTGAAATTAATTAAATATTTGTAAGGTATCCTGAGTAACGAGAGGGAAATTTGAAGATTGAATTCTAATTAAGAGAGGACAATGTCTAGTAATTAGCAGATGCGAAATGAAGCACAGTTTTTTAAAGAATGTGGAAATGGAATTTAGAATCAGACCATAAATACACAGTGCTTTTCGGGGGTTAACAATAGGGAAATAAACTACATTGTTATGGAAAGAGCGCGAAATCAGGTAAATCAGAAATATTAGAAAAAACTGAAAAGCAATTGAATCTTGGTAAATCCAAGATTCATGTCTTCATTTCCTAACTGCCTCTTAACGGGATATATCAATTATAACATAATTGATAAAATCCTAGCGAAACCGCAGTATAAACAAGGTAAAACCTGATTGATCGTCTTAAATTGACAGCTGGCAAAATGAAGGGGATAAAACACTACTTATAACTCGAAATCAGTAGAGTCTGACGACGGCAGTCAACCATAATGACACCAACCCAAATAAGGTATCGAGGGTATGAAAAATAAATAAAGGGAGAAGAAGAGGGAGAGAAAATCAGATGAGAGTAAAGCGTGGGTTGTCAAAAAAACGAAAACGAGGTGGCAATTAAATGAGGCGAGGCAGCAAATCCCATCGGACACCACAAAAACTTTCCCCTCATAATTAGGGTGCAAGAAAAAAAAGTAAAAAGCAACAACGCATGATATATAAATGCTATTTAAATACAACTCTAAATAACTCCTGATGCTTTTATTCAATTGATGAATCGGCACTTGAGCGAAAAAAAATCATGAAAAATTTGGTTAAATAGGAGGAAAAGTGGAGGATCATAAAGCTTTCTGGATTCACCTAAACATATCCTTAAAAAAAGAAGTAACTTTTTGAAGTATTCGAATAGAACAGAGAGAATTGAAAACACGAGCGAAAATATTCTGATTTTCTTAGCAAATTCCCCAAACAAACAGACTCAGACATTGAGAAAAAACGTGATGATAAAGGACGGCGGAAGTAAACAGCAATTAAAATCCCCCCCCCCACCCGCTACAGTTAAAATGAAAAGGTAATTTCCCTAAAAATGCAATACTACGAGGGGTTGTTCAGAAGAAAATGATGAGTGAATGACAAGAGAAGCAGAATATTAGAGATATAGAAGTCATATATATACCTCACTATTTACTTCTAAGAGCTCGGAGTTCAAACCCGCTCGATTGACCCCAACTACAGGTGTACGCACGTTCGCTATTACTATTATCACAAATAAAGATGCTTCAAGATTCTGATAATTCTGAAGTCGCAAAGAGAGCCGGAGTTGGTTAATTTGCAGTCAAACGAATGATGAATGCTACTACAAATGCTGTGTGTGTGTGTATTGCGGACTCTGCAGATGGAAGTGAAATAAGAGGGCACTGGCTGACTTAGTACCACAAACCCAAGAAGGATCCACCAACTACTAAACTTCATTATCTAGTAGAGGGTATCAACGAGGATTCAGTGAAAAATGATGACTGTAAAATCACATGAAACCCGTTCGACCATACTTTCTACAAGAAGAGCAAATTGATGAAAAAAGGCAGATTTAGAAGAGCTCACGTGAGAAAAAAGCATTTAGCCTGATAATTCTGGAGCTACAACTAAGTAGGGTCCTCTACTGCCTAAATACTTCAGCTTGAAAATGGACACAAGCGTTATTTGTGAACTTCAAATTAGAAAACATTCGAAAATAACACTGTAATGAACAGTTGTGAAGCTTTAATTTGTGCTATCATAGGAAATAATAGCATAGACCTACAGACTGACTCCCCAGTCCCACTGACAACTGGTGACCATGAGAGGATTGCTTCTTTACTCTCGACATCGTGTTCGACCCAGGCAGAGATAGTCTTGGAGGTGTAGATGTCCCTTGGAGTGATTTCGATGATTTGGCGCCACCGCCAGAAGTTGATGAGACGGAAGTCGAGGATACAGGTGTGGCATGAATAAGACCATAGCCACCATGCAGTCGCATGTGGCCATTCAACGCCGACTGGTTCTTGAAGCGCCTAGGACAAAATGCACACGGGACCACACGAGGAGCTTCGAGGGGCATGGCCATAAGCACGGCCTTGAGTCGCTCAGAGATGACGGGGCTCACTCGGCCACTGCTACCACCTCCACCGTCACCGCCACCTGCGTCACCACCGCTAGTTGCACTGTTCACAGAACCGGCGGCTGAGGAAAACCAGGGGGAGTTCCTCCCATTGGTCACTACAATCATGAAGAAACATAGGCATTAGAGTGACGTTCAACGCAGAGGATGCAGTCCCAAGTGACAAAATTGTTGAGAGGACGTTTTATTTACGACAAGCGCTAATAGAGGAAGTATTAACAATTCAGCAAATATCTCCTTAACTCTAAAAGGACGCCAATCTATTACCAAACGTAAGCAATTCCCTTGTTCACACAACACGTTACTGCATTTCTTTAAGAGGTGACAATAGCAGATTATTGCAGCTTATTTCACCGGATGCAAAAAAATATGAAATAGATTTATATTTTTTGGCTTATTTACAATAATTCAGTTCTGAGGAGTTTATTACCAAAGAGGCAATGCCAAAATTGTTCGGCAGCGTTAGTTGAGAACGCACAAGTTTCAAGAGCAGAAGGTGTTGTGAGTTTTGGGTGGCATAATATTTCTAATCAAACGACTAATTTAACATCTTAGAGATGGTGTAATAAGAGAAGTCGTATATGGATGTAAAAAAAATGAGGAACGATTAAAAATTACACGCCAAGAGAAGTCCGATGATTTTATCCCAATAAATACAATGTACGGTACTTTGGTACCTTATAAAGGCACAAAATTTGAAAGCCTTTAGAGGCAACAACGGTTTTTCCCCCAAACCTGTTCAAGAATTCGTGTTCTTTTGTTTAAAAAAAGGGCAAAGAAAAATAAATGAAAGAGAAAAAAGATAGGCATAGTCTGCCTTCTCCCACTTAATTAAAAAGGTAAATTCGTCTGCCACGATGTCAAAGGAGTAACCAATATGAAGACAGGGGACATCGTTGACTGAGTTAAAAATCAAGAAGCTATGAGTGAGAACAATGAATGCGGGGGGGAGGTGGGGTAGAGGGAGAGGGATCGAAAAAGTAAATGCAGAGAGACGCGACGTGATACACCGACGGGCATTATGAATCAATATGGTAATTGCTTTGACAATGAGGGAAAACAGGACCCTGGAAGCAGGTGAGTACTGATACAAGGTGCCAGGGGTGTTATTGGGTTAAATTAATCCACCCATGTCTGCAGCAAATACGCGCGACCAGGAGGAAATGATTAATGGGATTTGATTTTCCAAGGGGTTGGATAAAAATACTTCAATAGAACACATGTAAGCGTGAGTTGTGGTTAACGCACTTTTGACTTAAAGACCTGTGCCAATGGAGATAATTAGGAGAGTTCTAGTCAGTTTAAATCATGGATAATAGGGATACTAAACGTCGGTTTTCAAGAGTTCTGATTTACGTATTCGATTGAATCTTCGTTATCTGCACATGCCACAAGCCAATTCAAATATGTCTAGTTGTAGAGAGTGCATTTTCGAAAGTAGTATAGATTAGCTTACCCAAGTAAGAAATTGTGATAATTTATGATAAAATTAAATAATTGTTATCGTCAGACCCTACGCAATATATATATATATATATATATATATATATATATATTATTGGCAGCACATAATTTTCCACCAAAATGTGACAAGAGAGCGGGGGATTGTATTAAGTCAAAATTAGTCTAGTACCGATGAAATCAAGAACAAGAAAAACACTAACGCAATTGGAGAAGAAATAATTAAAAGGAACGACAATCAGCATGGGTTTTTTGAAAGTTAAGCATGTTCTTGAAACCACTCCCACCCACGGGGAGATTAAGCTTGCACATCATTTTTTTTCATATTAAAGCACAGAAATTAGGAGTGAGATAAGTCAACTCAATGAGATAATAAAGGCTTTCAAGCCCTGCTAGGTCGTAGTGAGTGAAATATCGTATTGGGTCGAAAAAGAGCTCAATGACGTGTGCTTCTCCCACTAAATAAAAACGCCTCCGAAAGCAGTACCTTAGGCATAAAAATAGTTAAAAAAGGAAATAACTAACAACAGGTAACAGAGTAAACAGGCACTGATGCTCTCATCTATCTGCTGATGGTTGTCAATGTAATGCAATAAAGCGGGTTGGCATGACAGCCAATGGAATCACCCAAGCAACACTCTCTCATTAACCCCACCTAAGAACTTTGTTGGCAAACCAATAAATAATTAAAATCCTTTTTTTGCTTATGACTCAAATCAGGCCTACATTAAATTTAAAGTGAGGAGTAGAAAGCAAAATTCAAACTCCATTAAAAATGAGCTCATTAACATTCAGAAGGAGATAATTAATAAGGAAGCGAATCTAAACTTGACAAATTGGTTCATTCAGGCCTGAGATATTACCAGCCATAGTAACAGTATAAACATGGCCGCATCAGGAGGGGTAACGCAGTAGCCTGACATAAATTTAAATTCCCCCATTGATACAGCGCACTTAAGAACTGGAGCGCGCGCACGTCCATATACACACGCACACGTATGCACTAATAGGCGCAACACAGCGATTGGCCACTCATTTATCTCACGTCGCGATCTAACGCAGTCGATCTTGTGCTAGCCTAGGCCCCGTTTATACTGACCAGTATGTGTCTTATTATCCTTCTGCGCGTCCTTCACTTAAATTCGTCACCTTCTCCAAAGCTCCTTTACGTACGCACATTGAGCAATAGACGTAAGGGCATAATAAGAGCATTTACTATGGCAATTAAAAATGTGAATGAATGCTGAGTTCTTGACACGCAGTCTATTTGTAGGATTTAATTCAAGTAAATTTTTGTTATTTGCCAGCTCTAGATGGATAGTAGGACGTGAGAGCAACAAGGTCTACATGGACTCTCTTCCTGACAAAGAGAGAGGAAGGGGGGGGGGNAGGGAGAGCTATGGGTGGGGGGGGGTGAAGATGAGGTAATTTTGAAGGGATGTTTATTAAATGCGGGCATGATTCACTTCAGATAGCCAATAATATTTTCGTTTCGTAAGAAATGAGAAAAGAGCGACTACCATTAGGAATATTTGTACCACCAGGAAACAGTCGTAAACCAAAACGAGTTACATTAATTCTACTTACTGCTACTAGTTAGAAAAGTGAAGTTTAAATTTGGCCACATAGGGTTAAAAGTTGTAACATAGGCGACAGACTGGATTGAGCACAGTTAAATGCGTCAATAATTGAATCGAATAACAGCATAATGATAAGAAAACGAATTGCAATAGCCATAACGATCAAATGATAGCTGTAGTGAAAACGACGATAAATAAGAGGACGGTACGGATTGAAGGTAAAAGTATAAACAAAAGGTGACACAAATACGGCCAACTGTAAGTTCGCTGTGATGATAAGAAAATATCCCAGCAATTCTCTGAGGATGCGAATTCAAAAAAAAAAGAAGAGAGCGAACTTGCCGCGAATTCACGCGGCCTACTAAAATAAAAAAAAGGGGTTCCAGAAGAGTGCCGCTGACGGGATATAAGAAGGAGTCTTTGCGCTAATCCAGACATGCTGGAGAAAGGAAAAACATAAAAGTGAGCAACTCACTCCTCCTCAAATAGAGTTACATATTGATGAGAAAATAACGAACTGTAATTGTCAAATGCTTAGAAGTCAATCTGAAGAATAAAATTAGTGTCGCTAACTGCCAGTAGAACTACAATAGGCTACATTACAATTATCACCTCACTATAAGCGCGTAAAACAGGAAGATAAGAGGGAAACTCCATTTAAATTAACATTTAACCTTAGCATATTAAGTCTATCAAAGTCCACTGTATGATTTATAGAGAAAAACTGCCTCCCTCCCCCCAAATTAAGCACAAGAATTCTGAATTTTTCGTAACCGTCAAACAGGGTGTTTGAGAGAAAGATCATTAGTAAACATTCTTCGTCATAGCCGAGATTTACATAGGATATGATCCCATTGTCGCAAATGACCTAGAAGCGGTCATCCAATTGGATGTTTCAAAAAAGCTTAAACCTTGATTGCATTCACGAAATTGGAAAGAAAGGGTTGCAATTTAAACAAACTAAAAATTACAAACCAATCATTTCTCAAGCTATAAACAAAGACTTGATATCTCAAGATGACAATAATTGCCAACTGCAAGGAGGAGTCCAGTAGCTTCTCACGCCACCAATAACACCAGATTCCAGTAATCTGAGCACGTAATCATACAGATAGATGTAATATAAAAGACATTAATAAGGCAGGAGGAGGAGGCCAGGAAGCCTAACTTCATTTCTCCCCGCACATACAGTTCAAAAATGCATAAAAATAAACCGCCAATAGCGCGGTGACCTTGAAACTTTATTACAAAAGCGCTTAGGGTTAAACTGATAATGATAGCACAAACGGGAGAGAGAGAGAGAAGGGGGAAGAGAAAGTTAACGAAAGCCAGCAACCTAATAGGCAGTCGGGACTCGAATGTTACGCATTAAGAGTGTTTTTCAAAGGTTAAGAAGGTAACAATCTGGTGGCGGACATTGAGAGAGAGAGAGAGAGGGGGGGGGGGNGGGGAGAGAGAGGGGGGGGAGTGAGAGGGGGGGAGAGAGGAAAGGAGAGAGGAAAAAATAGTGACTGTAGGTTAAAACAGTAATACGAAAATGCAAATCTTCTGCCTGACCGCTCACCCAAAAAATCTTACGCCGAGACAAACGTAAGGAGGGAAAGGGAAATAATTGGCACCCACATTGCCTACACAAACGCAAGTCACTCAAAAAAGTGATTTTAAATCTTTTTCCTCTCTCTCTCTCTCCCTCTCCCTCCCTCTGTGCATGTGGCCCGTCTACATTGTGAAAAGGAAGTTAAATTTCAACCTTTGCAGATTCGCACCATGCAGCTATAAGTCCCCCCCCCTTCCCTCCAATTTGCAGCTAACTAATCGAAGTTAATGGGAGCACAGCAAGCACAGATAGTGCTCAACACTCAAATTGCTGATGGATTGAAGTGATCTCCGTAGTAATAGGCCCATTCTCTTCCGAATATTCCCTGGCACATATTCCGGTTCCCAAAGTCTTCCGTTCTGAATAAATAACGAATTTGTCTGATAAATCATCTAGGATCACATCATTCACCAATATTGCTCCACTTCTTGTAATGATGAGGACATGCGTGCATGTAGAACCCTAGGGGTCATTGGTGTAGTGATCAGAAGTGACGTACAGCACATCAAGGAACAAGAGAGAGAGAGCCTAGCCTCTAGATATGAAAAGTTTTTCCCTCAATGGCATATGATTAAATAGGAGTATTAAACGACATGAATTCCAATAAACAAGTGATAAATGGGGGGTGGGGGGTGGGAGGGGGACAACAGCTAAAAATGTGTGACTGCGACATCAAACTTGGAGACGCCTAATCGATAAGCAGATTAGGACTAAGAGATGCGCTTAAAATGAGGACATTATACTCCTGTCTGCAGATGAGTCATTGTAAGCATTGATTTGAATTCAAGGCAATGTAGAATGAAGGACAAGTTACCAGCCCTAAGGCACGTCAGATGCTCAAATTCCCAAGACCATGCAAAATTATCAACACACAACGAAGTTTGAAAAGAAGGGTGAAGAATCTTTACACTTTTTTATCGACTCATATAAAATCCAAGGCCATGGGTCCCATAGCGGAGATCTGAGGAGTGCTCGAAACTACAAGCAAATGCTCACACGCAATTCGACGTTCAAATAAGAAAAAAACAACAACTTGGCTAAGTGTGCTCATATCTCGTGTTTAAGTCTTCACTTACATCTCGCCAATAATTTAATCATTAGGGTTTTTAAAGCTTGATAAAAGCAGGCTTGACACAAAAACACAAACTTAAAACAGCAATCACGAGATTCCTGTGTAATTACGACTGGGTATAATCTACCGAAAAATATTATACACGTGACGAGGGAGAAAACACACGACAGGAGGGGGGGGGGGGGGGTAGGGGAAATTTGGGATCTCGGGGAATTTCGCAACAAGATGAGGAAAAAGGAGGGTGAGAAAGGACGCTAAGCTTGAGTAAGTGCTCATTTCACGACTGCGAATTATTGAACGTGTCGAGTAAACCAGGCCAATGCAAAGGCACCTTAAGATGACCGAAAAGAGATGTACCCAAGTGTAACATCCTGAGGCTTCCCAAGGTGGCAGAAATAGTAAAGTGAAACAGGAAGTTGGGATAAAATACCCCTAGGAGATGAAAGAGATGTTTAAGGTTTTATTCAAACTGAAGAGAAATAGATCTATTGGGAGTGAACTATGATGGAGATTCGATTTACTGTTGGAGATAGAGTAAATGGGATTTGTAAAATTGCAGGCATTTACTTCATTAAACGGTTAAGAATATACCAGTTGGGATTCCTGACTCAGGGAAGTTGATGAAACATGGCAGATACAGATATCACTTAAGGCTATAATGATCAGGGTATTTGCTATTACCAGTAATCGTATCAATCCCCATTTACCTGATATCATCTGCTGACAATCGTCCGATTTTCATTTTTTTGAAAATAAACGCAGTCATGTGCAAAAAAGTGGACAAACTCATCACATAGGACGCTTTCATTAAAAAACCATCAATAGCGGGGACGAATTGCAGGCAACATGACAGTCACCGAGGTTAGAAGTGGGACAAGAAAAAGACAAGTTATGGCTGACGCGAGTTAAGAAAAGGCACAAAAAATAGCCCTATTTTGACTGAACCACACTTTTACCCGATTAATAAAGCATGAAAATGAGAACTGTGATAACTCACCTTTATCAGCGACGAGATGTTGAGTCAGATTGTTGGTATTGGAGGCACCACTGACCACCGCAGCAGCAGTAGGACCGGACGCGGATCCGGACACGCTGCAAGACGCGGCTGCAGCAGCGGCCTCAACTACAGCGGAGAGTTGGGTCTCAGCTTCCTCGGCGGCTCGCCAGAGATCATACTCATCCGGGTGGGCGTTCTCATAGTGACGGCGCAGGGAACGCGCATCACTGTAAGATTTCTCACAGATACGACAACCGTGGGGCTTCTTTGAGGCGTGAGTCAATTTGTGTCCGTTTCTGAAAAGAAGAGAAGCACCTCAGACTAAGCCAATGCACTGCTTTGTTCTCGAATAGAAAGCATAGAACGTAATGTCAAGATGGAATCCAGAGCATATCTATTTAGAAATGCGGGCTTGCAAACATCATACTGCCTAGTTGATTGGACATTGTCGAGAAAATGGTACAGACTGTGATGTTATCAACGATGTGAGCGTCATTATGCCTGTGGTGATTAGCTGCTGTGATGCCAACTAAGCATCTTAGTTACCAGAGCCAATAAATTCAAGATAGCCGAAGTGTTTGCTATGAATTACCTGCATCATTAAAAAGCAACCCCACCGTTCTCCCTATGTCTTTAGATCTAGATGAATAGCCAGAAGTAATACGAAATATCAACACCTTCACACATCATATGCAAAACATGTATGAAGATGAGGGCAAATATTCCATAGAATCCCATTATATCAACGTGTGGCAAAAATTACGGTAGAAGGTGTTTCAAAAGAGTTACTTTATGGGAACAAAGAAAAAACTGAAGAATAAAGATGACGAGGGGGGGGGGCATTTTACTCAAAAAACCAGGTTGAATAAATAAGTTCAATTTCAGTACGGAACATAAAGTATTCTAAAATATTACCCAAACATCATGCACCTAGAGTGTAGAAAGAATGTACGCATGGCGAAAACTGATTATTACCAATAGTAGTGGGCAACGTCGCTAGGTTTTAGAATGAAGTAACGAAAAGAAGAAAATGAATTGTCAAAGTAATTATAAATATCAGTTTAACTTAGTTGATAAAAACCTAAACTGAATAGGATATAGGAAAAGGTAATCATAAGTAACACAAACTTCTGATTGATCAACGTTATGAAAACTAAGATAAAATAGGCCTAACACCCCCTCCCCTCCCCTCCCTGAATCTAATCCCCTGTATTCAACTCCTAATTCAATGAGATATTTAACTCCGGACAACTTCAATTAAGATATTCAACTTAACTCTTGCTTGGTAAGCCCTGTACACTCACCATTATGAAGTTACTTATTGATGGACAAAGTTTAGAAGAAAAGAAAGCCATCAACAGGGTCTAGTCAGCTTTAAAATGGGGCCCACTAAAGTTGTGTTATGAGAATTATGTGAGTGGCATAAAAATGGGCGCCACAAAGGATCGGAACGGGCCAATCAAATGGCCTCATCCGGTTAATCAGGACCATATGACTTGTAATAAGGGGCTCTCTCTGGCATAGGAAAAGTCGGATTGTGCCAATACCCTACGGAACCAAATCAAACTAGGGTCCATTATTGGAAAAGAACAGTTAAATTGGGGTTATGTGAGCAAGTAGCAAATCACAGCTAACTAGAAGTGGGTTCATAATTGCCTCGTAAGACTTAGAACAATCGATTGAGGCTAATTTAGGAGAACAGGAAGGGGAGGAGAGTTCCAAACTATTCTGATGAGATTTGTGCGAAGCAAGCACTCAGGAGGGTATGCGGCAGAATAGCCTTCTTCATCTTCCCCTCTTCCCCTTCGTAAACACATGCACTGACGTCAGTATAACTTTGGGGAACCATCGGGGGAGGGGGGGGGGGGGGGGGGGGAGAGGGATCGCACACATTTTGACAATCGCACAAAAAAACACAAAAACATGCCTATGGGTGCACTTATGTTTCAGCAACGCACAATGTCTTCATTGATACACACATTGAAGCAACTAAATAAAGAATGTATGGATAAATAGGAGGGAGAATTAAATGGATCCCACACTTGTCAAGGGACGTGCTTTCCAGCCTTCAACATGGATAGAGCAGTGATATCCTGGGGCCTCTGACTAGTATTAGCCTGGATTCCCGGCCCTGTAGTTAACTAGATTGACCGGCATATATATTAACCGCTATCGATGGTGAAGCAGAGATGAAACGGCTACATTTCATAATGCTACGCAACGAAAACAAGCAGAAATAGCTAAGGAGACTGAAAAGCCAGAGGCAAGTGCAACATTTCTCGCTAATAAGCATTAAAACCACAATATGAAGAGTTATTAACTCCAACAGTATAAGGGAATTGAAACAGGGACAAAGAACGAACTGAAGTGATTAAAAATCAGAATGTTTAAACTTGTATAAACGTGAGTAACATGACCACCCTCCCTAATAAAGACTCCGTATTTTGGCGTCATTTAAGCAGTCTCTCCCTCCCGTTGCAACGCTACAATGAAGTGGGACTACTTTATTTCCCTGGGGTTATTTTTTTCAACTTTTTATGCCAGGGCCCCATCCCCTTCAGTTGCCTTTTGAAGTGTTCAGATGTGCATTTTTACTTCCTATTGAAATCAAGCAAGTGATGGGTGTTTGTGCATGAACACAGACGCATCCGACACACACACACTCACAGAGAGAAATGAGCCCTGAAGATAATGAAATAATGACAGGTCGACGTCTAGACAATATTAGGGGGTAGGGTGTCCAGGGCATTTTGACCAGACAAACGTCATCTGAGAGCAAGAATGAGCAAGTAGTTTAAAGCAAATACGCACCAGGCTACTAATTAAAACGAGACGTGCTAAATTTAGAATAAAATCAATACTGACCTTCGAAAACTCATCACGAACAAGATGGAAAGAAAACAGAGCGTTCAAAGAATGCTTGTACCTTGGATGAACAAAGGGGCGACTGTCTACTCTTTCCGAGGGTGAACGTTAAGCTGGTGACTGAATATCTAAGGCAAATGGGTTAGTAACCAAAGATGACGATCAACAATGAGTTTTATAAAATGTGATGCTTGTAGCAGGAGTCTTAACTCGAATAGACCTCGATATATCTTTGCCCTCTACAAACTGATATTTGAAAGCTTCTAGCTTTCCTTAAGCAAATACAATTTAACCAAAAAACAACAGGTCTCCTACGTAGATTCTTAAACTCCAACTTCAAATTGCCTTTTATTCGACTTGTGGATACGAAGAAAACTTGACTCCAATTTGACATGGGGGTATGGGCCATTTTGTACTGTGGGGATGTACTTGGAGTGAACGTGATTTCTTAGGCCTACGGTGCCGGCCCACAGGGAAGAGAGAACAGCAGTTTCCAATTTCAAAAAAAACAGACATTCTGCAAGTAAAAAGACTTGTCAATAAAAAAGGACGGTTTGTGGCATAAAGGTCGGCAAATAGCAACCGAACTAAACACAACCGAGGCGGAGGGGCTTCGCTAGTAAATAAGTACTGCCGCTTGATGAATAAGAGGCCTAAAATAGTTGTACGGCTTGAAAATACTCCTAGGAATTGACGGACGACTTCCAAGGATGTCCAGAGTAAGGGACTAGGGGAGAGAACATATGGAAGCATTAATGACTCTATAAATAGCCGAGGATGGGACGAATTCACCTTCATTAATTACTGCTAGTCTTGAACATAAATAAAGAACAAAACACAGTTATTAATAGTGCAAGGGAGAGAGAGAGAGGGAGGGAAGAAGGAAAACAAGCGAATGGAAAGATGGAACAGCTGCTTTCCCATAGTCCACCTTTTTGTTTCACTTTTGGCTTGATATAATTTTTTGTGCAACTTTTAATTTCGTGAATGGAAATATCCTTTTACCCTCAATCCCCCACCCCNCCCCCCCCCCCCCTCCCCCCTAAGCACTGAAACAACTGTGCATTATCTCTTACTTTACGTACCGGAAATACAGCGGCTTACGTGGTAGCGCAAGTCGAATTAAAGACAACAAATTTGATACTCAATTATCATGTGTGTGTGGGTGTGTGTGTGTTGTTAATTTATCATAATGCGTGGTGGCTTGATGATACAATCGCCTAATCCTTCGAAGTCGTTGTTAGAATTTAATCATTACCTTTTTTAAAAAGCAAAAAAACATTCCCATTAATTGAAAAAGCATTCGAAATCAAATTTCAAGCGACGCTTCTCAACTAATCGGTATAAAAATTTAACTCAAACTGTCTCGATGCCTTTCTATTTACTTTGAGTCAACGCTTTCCAGCTAACAACTACACCTCTACCATAAACATACAACGAAACCTAGAGTTAATGTTCGAAAATGAGTTGTATCAATTAGAAATGACTCCTTAGAAAACCTTAAACACTAGATTTAAGCTGATTGAAAGTGTTCAAAGTGTAGAATGCAAAGCCGAGTGCAAAATAAAGATAGTTGAGGACTGATTCACTTGAATCCTAAATCATTCGGTTAAGTGAGATATATCCAGAGAGAAAGCGATTTTATCGAAATGCACCAATCATAGCGCTTCTTAGTCGCGGAAGATTGCGCTAGAGTCAAAAGAACCACAACTTCCAAAAGAAATTGTAAGTCCTCGAAGGAGAAGGGGTCAGTATCACAAATTCCAGACTGATTACTACGGCTTGTAATTGGAGAATACGCGCACACACACACACACACACACACGCAAAGATGAAAAATTGCCATCCCCGACGTAAATACTACACAAGCAAGATCATGAGAAACCTCTACTTTCAACTCTATTCCATAGACAAGCAATAGTGACAAATAATAACCTATTCCGAAATGAAGAATCCGCTAGATCACCACATTGGACGTTTGCCTAAGACTTGAACTTAGCGGAACGGCGAAATAAATTTTCCCTGAAAGATCACTAACAAAGATGGGATGGAAAAAGACTAAACTAGGCAAGTCGTTACCGGCATTGTTCTTTAGATGGAGTAAGTAAAAGGCCGGGGACGCTAACAATTGTACCTCCCCCCCCCCACCCCGCCCTATAGAAGATAGATTCAACGAACGGCAAACTCGTAGTGTGAATGTAGATGCGTGCTTAGGCCAGTTAGTCGATGTCGGTCAGACGCCCTAATTAATCAAAATGAGAGCGCGGGGTACACCTGGATCTGCGAATATACGCATCGCACGGTTTGCAAAAGTAGCTGATAGTGATTTGTGACCAGAACCATTCATATAGCAATCGTTTTGGAAGAACACACTTATGGAAAACCAAAGCATGCGTAGTGGGGGGGGGGGTCTTTACTATGTGAATCAAC